CCTTATGTAGGTCCTGAAAAAAATATTAGAAAAATCCACGTCTTGCTTTGGACTATAGTCTCTTAAAAAATTTCCAAATTATTCCATTTCCAAGGTCTTGCCTTAATTCTGCTTCGATATCTGGGGAAATCGTAAATAAATCTTGGCGGTTTTAATTACAATAGATAAACAGACACCTGTCCATCAATGGCATACCGAAAATATCTGATTTTTTTAGGCAAACAAAACAATTAAGGTATTGTCTGGCGATCCTACGAATCGGCGATATCATATCAGCTGCAGCACTAGCAGCAGCTGCTGCTCCTCATTAACAAATCCAAAACGAAATGCTTTTGTTCAAAAGAAATAAACAAAGGCTTTTCGAAACTGAATGGACATTACCTTTTACGGTTCTTTCATTATCCGCCATTTATGTTTTCTTCGATTTCTATTTATTTCCCCCCATATTTTTTTTCTTTCGTCTTCCAAAAAATGAAGATAAGAAGGAAAACAAAAATAAAATCGAAATGATTAGAAAATTCTATCGACAACATTGACTTTGATGGATATTTTTATTGTTGGTATTTAGTTACGACTTCGATTAACATTTAGGCGGAACGCGAAGTTAGTATAACGGTTAATACTTGACATAAACGGACCACCATTTTTTCGTGTGTGGTGAAAGAAATCTAAACGAAAATTATTTAGAAATAAGTGGAAAGAAAGAAGTGCCATTAATTTGAAGAAAAATAATTACAAAATGTATGTCGAAGTTAAAAAAAGTGTAATAGTTTTGTATATTTTATAATTTTGACCTAGGTTGCGTATTAGTAACGACACTACGTATACGTCACATGTGCTTGTTTAAAATAATGGATTTAAATAAATTTACAGCAAGGCGTGGATTTATTAAAAACTATTTTTGAGGGTCTACACCAAGGTGAGGATTCAAAAAAATATTTTTGAGGACCTACACCAACGTGGGGATTAAAAAATATATTTTTGAGAGTCCACGCCTTATATAGGCCCTTGAAAAAAATATTTTTGAGAGTCCACGCCTTATATAGGCCCTTGAAAAAATATTTTTTAAAAATCCACGCCTTATATAGGCCCTTGAAAAAATATTTTTAAAAATCCACGCCTTATATAGGCCCTTGAAAAAATATTTTTAAAAATCCACGCCTTATATAGGCCCTTGAAAAAATATTTTTTAAAAATCCACGCCTTATATAGGCCCTTGAAAAAATATTTTTAAAAATCCACGCCTTATATAGGGCCTTGAAAAAATATTTTTAAAAATCCACGTCTGATATAGGCCCTGGAAAAAATTATTTTAAAAATCCACGCCTTACATAGGCCCTTGAAAAAATATTTTTAAAAATCCACGTCTTATGTAGGCCCTTGAAAAAAATATTTTTAAAATCCACGCCTTATATAGACGCCTTCTATAGGCCTCTGAAAATATTTTCTCTAAAAATTCAAGCTTTGTGTTGGTCCTGCAAAAATATGTTTTAAAAACCACGGCAAATTAGTTGATTTAGATATTTGGAACCTTTGGCGTATACATGCTGTCGTTACTTATACGCTCTCTATGTTGTTTTGTAAAATCGATCTGAATAGAAATTTATAGGCCATTGAAAAAAAATATTATTTTAAAAATCTACGCCTTCTATAGGTTCCTAAAAAGTGTTATTTTAAAAATCTAAGCCTTCTATAGGTTCTTAAAAATAATATTTTAAAATCTACGCCTTCTATAGGTACTTCGAAAAAAATTATTAAAAAAATCTACGCCTTCTATAGGTTCTTGAAAATGTTATTTTAGAAAATCTACTCCTTCTATATGTCCATAAAAATATTATTTGAAAAATCTACGCCTTCGATAGTTTCTTAAAAATGTTATTTTAAAAATCTACGCCTTCGATAGGTTATTAAAAATAATATTTTACAAATCTATGCCTTCTATAGGTTCTTAAAAATAATATTTTAAAAATCTACGCCTTCTATAGGCCTCTAAAAAGTAAAAGTTAAAAATCCACGACTTATATAGGCCCTTATCCACGCTTAATATAGGGCCCTGATAAAATATTTTTAAAAAATAATTAGATAAGCTAATTTAGAAATTTGCAAACTGAGGCGTATATGTGCTGTCATTAGTTATACGCTCCCTATGTTAAAGAATCATTTTTGAGGCAGCCTTCTAGGTGTGGATTTATTAAAGAATACTTTTCAAGGCTCCAACTGAGGCGTGGATTTATTAAAGAATATTTTTCAAGGGCCAACTGAGGCGTGGACTTATTAAAGAATATTTTTCAAGGGCCAACTGAGGCGTGGATTTATTAAAGAATATTTTTCAAGGGCCAACTGAGGCGTGGATTTATTAAAGAATATTTTTCAAGGGCCAACTGAGGCGTGGATTTATTAAAGAATATTTTTCAAGGGCCAACTGAGGCGTGGATTTATTAAAGAATATTTTTCAAGGGCCAACTGAGGCGTGGATTTATTAAAGAATATTTTTCAAGGGCCAACTGAGGCGTGGATTTATTAAAGAATATTTTTCAAGGGCCAACTGAGGCGTGGATTTATTAAAGAATATTTTTCAAGGGCCAACTGAGGCGTGGATTTATTAAAGAATATTTTTCAAGGGCCAACTGAGGCGTGGATTTATTAAAGAATATTTTTCAAGGGCCAACTGAGGCGTGGATTTATTAAAGAATATTTTTCAAGGGCCAACTGAGGCGTGGATTTATTAAAGAATATTTTTCAAGGGCCAACTGAGGCGTGGATTTATTAAAGAATATTTTTCAAGGGCCAACTGAGGCGTGGATTTATTAAAGAATATTTTTCAAGGGCCAACTGAGGCGTGGATTTATTAAAGAATATTTTTCAAGGGCCAACTGAGGCGTGGATTTATTAAAGAATATTTTTCAAGGGCCAACTGAGGCGTGGATTTATTAAAGAATATTTTTCAAGGGCCAACTGAGGCGTGGATTTATTAAAGAATATTTTTCAAGGGCCAACTGAGGCGTGGATTTATTAAAGAATATTTTTCAAGGGCCAACTGAGGCGTGGATTTATTAAAGAATATTTTTCAAGGGCCAACTGAGGCGTGGATTTATTAAAGAATATTTTTCAAGGGCCAACTGAGGCGTGGATTTATTAAAGAATATTTTTCAAGGGCCAACTGAGGCGTGGATTTATTAAAGAATATTTTTCAAGGGCCAACTGAGGCGTGGATTTATTAAAGAATTTCAAGGGCCAACTGAGGCGTGGATTTATTAAAGAATATTTTTCAAGGGCCAACTGAGGCGTGGATTTATTAAAGAATATTTTTCAAGGGCCAACTGAGGCGTGGATTTATTAAAGAATATTTTTCAAGGGCCAACTGAGGCGTGGATTTATTAAAGAATATTTTTCAAGGGCCAACTGAGGCGTGGATTTATTAAAGAATATTTTTCAAGGGCCAACTGAGGCGTGGATTTATTAAAGAATATTTTTCAAGGGCCAACTGAGGCGTGGATTTATTAAAGAATATTTTTCAAGGGCCAACTGAGGCGTGGATTTATTAAAGAATATTTTTCAAGGGCCAACTGAGGCGTGGATTTATTAAAGAATATTTTTCAAGGGCCAACTGAGGCGTGGATTTATTAAAGAATATTTTTCAAGGGCCAACTGAGGCGTGGATTTATTAAAGAATATTTTTCAAGGGCCAACTGAGGCGTGGATTTATTAAAGAATATTTTTCAAGGGCCAACTGAGGCGTGGATTTATTAAAGAATATTTTTCAAGGGCCAACTGAGGCGTGGATTTATTAAAGAATATTTTTCAAGGGCCAACTGAGGCGTGGATTTATTAAAGAATATTTTTCAAGGGCCAACTGAGGCGTGGATTTATTAAAGAATATTTTTCAAGGGCCAACTGAGGCGTGGATTTATTAAAGAATATTTTTCAAGGGCCAACTGAGGCGTGGATTTATTAAAGAATATTTTTCAAGGGCCAACTGAGGCGTGGATTTATTAAAGAATATTTTTCAAGGGCCAACTGAGGCGTGGATTTATTAAAGAATATTTTTCAAGGGCCAACTGAGGCGTGGATTTATTAAAGAATATTTTTCAAGGGCCAACTGAGGCGTGGATTTATTAAAGAATATTTTTCAAGGGCCAACTGAGGCGTGGATTTATTAAAGAATATTTTTCAAGGGCCAACTGAGGCGTGGATTTATTAAAGAATATTTTTCAAGGGCCAACTGAGGCGTGGATTTATTAAAGAATATTTTTCAAGGATTTATTAAAGAATATTTTTCAAGGGCCAACTGAGGCGTGGATTTATTAAGGAATATTTTTCAAGGGCCAACTGAGGCGTGGATTTATTAAAGAATATTTTTCAAGGGCCAACTGAGGCGTGGATTTATTAAAGAATAATTTTCAAGGGCCAACTGAGGCGTGGACTTATTAAAGAATATTTTTCAAGGGACAACTGAGGCGTGGATTTATTAAAGAATAATTTTCAAGGGCCAACTGAGGCGTGGATTTATTAAAGAATAATTTTTGAGGCAGTCTTCTAGGCGTGGATTTATTAAAGAATACATTTTCGGTAGCCTCCTAGGCGTGGATTTATTAAAGAATAATTTTTGAGGCCATCTTCAAGGCGTGCATTTATTAAAGAATAATTTTGAGGCAGTCTTCTAGGCGTGGACTTATTAAAGAATAATTTTTGAGGCAGCCTTCTAGGCGTGGATTTATTAAAGAAAATTTTTTGGCAGCCTTCTAGGCGTGGATTTATTAAAGAATACATTTTCGGTAGCCTCCTAGGCGTGGATTTATTAAAGAATACATTTTCGGTAGCCTCCTAGGCGTGGATTTATTAACTTTCGGCAAACTGTGGCGTATACGTGCTGTCATTAGTTATACGCTCCCTATATTGAATTATTTTTCTTTTAATATTAATTTAATATTTTCTCTTTTTTCTGTTTCGATTTATTTGCAGAATCCGAAAATCTCCAGATACCAATAATAATTCAAGAAGAACATCAACACAAAAAAACAACAAAAATGTCTCTGCTAACGGGAAGTGCAAATTGCATTAAATATGTTTTATTTGCTTTCAATTTAGTTTTTATGGTAAGTTCGAATATTTTTTTTTTTCTATTTTTCATTCATTCTTCCATTCCCTATTTATTATTTTTCGCGATAAGATTTCGATATCCCATTATCATTTCCCTGATAATGGTAAACTTATAAAAATCCAACCAATAAGTTGGTTGGCAAATCAAAAAACAACACGAAGTGGGTGAATCACTTAATCACCCTTGCTGTTGTTGCTGGCCATGGGATTGACGTTTAAGTCCAAAGTTTTAGAATTCTATTTGTCATACTTAGGAATGATTTTTTTCTGGGGGTGATTTCCAAATTCTGCGATAAATAGTTCATTTGAATATAACTTTTCTTTTGATTGGAAATCGAAAGAAGCAGAAGTTTGGTTTTTTTCTGATAAGAAAACTCTTCGATTTTTGGAGGTTCCGATTTGTTATCAAAATGGAATTCGAATATTTTTAAAATATCATTTATTTCATGAAAATGCTTTAAAAATTAAATTTTTTGCACTTTTAGGACCTAAACAACAAAAATGAAAAATCCCCACAATTTTCCCCAGTTTTTCCAAAATTGTAAAAATGATAATTTTTTTCAGCAAAACTCAATGAAAAAGAAGTTTCTCCTTATCTTTAGAAGTTCTCCATTAAAATAAACGAAGTTATCCCTTAAAATAATCTCATTTTTCGACCAAACATAAAAAAATTAAAAATCCCCTCGATTTCCCCAGTTTTTCATAATCATTAAACAACTGTTATTCCTAGCAAAAAAAAACCTTAAAAAGTAATAGAATCTGTCTTCAGAAACTCTCAATTGAATTTAAAATATGTTTTGGCAATAAAATACAAAATCCCCAAAATTCCCTCATTTTCCCCAGTTTTTCCAAAATTATAAAAATTGTCATTTTTAAGCAAAACTCAGTGAAAAATAGTTTCGCCATCTATTTAGAATTTATCCTTTTAAAGATACCGCATTTTTCGATCAAAAATAAAAGAAAATTAAAATTCCCTCGATTTCCCCAGTTTCCCATAATCATTAAAAAACTCTTATTCCTAGTAAAAAAATCCTAGAATCTGAATAGAAAATAATGGAATCTATCTCCAGAAGCTCTCAAATGAATTTATAACATTTTTTGGCAATAAAATACAAAATCCCCAAAATTCCCTCATTTTCCCCAGTTTTTCCAAAATATGAAGTTAAGGACTTTTTTTAGAAAAAAATCAATGTTAAATTTATTTATTTTTGTCTTTAGAAGCTCTTCGTTAAAATTTTGGCAATTTTTTGTTAATAAAACAACATAAATTTAAAAATGCCCCCAAATTCCCTCATTTTCCCCAGTTTTTTAAAAAAGTGAAAATAATTATATTTTTCAGAAAAACTTTGTATCAAAATAGTTTCTTGTTAACTTTAGGAGCACTGCTTTAAAATTATGGCGATTTTTTAACAATAAAAAGACATAAATTTAAAAACCCCCCGATTTCCCCAGTTTCTTATAATCATTAAAAAACTCTTATTCCTACCAAAAAAATCCTAGAATCTAAATAGAAAATAATAGAATCTATCTCCAGAAGCTCTCAAATGAATTTATAACATTTTTTGGCAATAAAATCCAAAATCCCCAAAATTCCCCATTTTCTCCAGCTTTTTTAAAATTATGAAGTTAGGGATTTTTTTTTTTTTTTTTTTTTTTTTTGAAGAAATCAATTTCTTTGTCTTCAGAAGCTCTTCGTTAAAATTGTGGCAATTTTTTGATAATAATAAAACATAAATTTAAAAATCCCCTCAAATTCCCTCATTTTCCCCAGTTTTTTAAAAATGTGAAAATAATTATATTTTTCAGAAAAACTTTGTGTCAAAATAGTTTCTAGTTAACTTTAGAAGCTCTTCTTTAAAATTTGGCGATTTTTTTACAATAAAAATACATAAATTTAAAAATCCCCTCAATTTCCCCAGTTTTTCAAAATTAATAAATAAACCATATTTTTAGCAAAAATTTTTAAAACAAAGAAAGAGAAGTTGTTTCTACAAAATCTCAAATGAATTTGGCACATTTTTTTACCAAAAAATCGAATATCTAAAAATCCCCTCATTTTCCCCAGTTTTTGCAAAATGTAAAAAATTATGATTCTTTTAGCAAAAACTCAGTGTCAAAACAGTTTCTAGTTGCCTTTAGAAGCTCTTCTTTAAAATTTGGCGATTTTTTTACAATAAAAATACATAAATTTAAAAATCCCCTCAATTTCCCCAGTTTTTCAAAGTTTTTAAAAAACCCGAAGTCTTAGCAAAAATCGCTAACAAAAATAGTTAGAAGCTATCTCTAGAATATTTCAATTGTATTTATCACATTTTTAGGCATAATGATGCAAAATCTTAAAAATTCCCTCATTTTCCCCAGTTTTTCCATAATGTAAAAATAACGATAATTTTTTGGCAAAAATTTGTGAAAAAATAGTTGCTGTTTGTATTTAGAAGTTCTCCATTAAAATTACCGTTATTTTACAATTAAAAAACATGAATTTAAAAATCCCCTCGATTTCCCCAGTTTCCAAAAATTATTTAAAAAAACACAAGTCTTAGCAAAAATGGCTAACGAAAATGCTTAGAAGCTATCTCTAGTAGAAGTTCAATGAATTCGACACATTTTTAGGCATAAAAATGCAATATCTAAAAATTCCCTCATTTTCCCCAGTTTTTCGAAAATTGAGAAATAGCGATTTTTTAAGAAAAATTCAGTGTCAATATGGTTTTTAGATACACATAGGAGCTTTTCTTTAAAATTGGCATATTTTTCTGGCAATTAAATCAAAAATAAAAAATTCCCTCGATTTCCCCAGTTTTCTCCTAAATTTCAAAATATTGATATTTTTCACAAAAAAGTTCTTAATAAAGTAATTAGAGATCATTAGTAATATATGCCAATTAAAATAAAATTATTTTTGGGCAATAAAATCGTAAATTTAAAAATTCCCTCGATTTCCCCAGATTTCCTGAAAATGTCAAAATAACTATATGTGTCAACAGAAATCGATATGTATTTACATTAAGAGACTATAGAGGCTATTTAATGCTACTCATAATATCATATAGGCGATTTAAACAAAAATTCGAAAATCCCCACATTTTCCCCAGTTTCTCTATAAATGGCTAAATATTTACATTTTTACAAACAATTGTTTTTAAAATTGTTAAAAGTAGTGTCTGGAAGATTCCAAATGAAATTGGCGCATTTTTGTGTAATAAAATCACAATTCTAAAAATTCCCTCAATTTCCCCAGATTTTCCATAAATATCGAATTATCTATATTTATCAACAGAAATCGATGTAAATGTACTCTAAGGAACTATAGAGGCTATATAATGCCAGTCATAATATTAATTGGGCTAATTAAACACAAATTCGAAAATCCCCACATTTTCCCCAGTTTCTCTATAAGTGGCGTAATATTTATATTTTTTTGCAAAAATTGTTAATTAAATAGTTAAAAGTAGTGTCTGGAAGCTTCCAAATGAAATGTACACATTTTTGGGTATTAAATTCCCAGTTCTAAAAATTCCCTCCATTTCCCCAGTTTTATAACAAATTTCAAAACCATTATTTTTCACACGGAAAAATTTATATATTTATATAAATTTATATATTTATATAAATTTATATATTTATATTTATATATTTTTTATGATACAACTGAACCTGAAAATGCCAATTTTTACCGATTTTTGAAAATGTAAACAAAAGCCGAAATTCCCCACAGATTTCCCCAGTTTCTTTATAAAAAGGAAAAATTGTGAAATTTTTACTATAAAAAATTAACAAAATAAATGGTTATTGTCTCTAAATGTTCATAATTGAAATGGATTAATTTTTGGGCACAAAAATACCAAAATCAAAAAAATTCCCTCATTTTCCCCAGTTTTATAAAAATTTAAAAAAATATCAAATTTGTATATGGAAAATTCTTATATATCAATTTTATGGTGCAAATGAACTTTTAAATGCCAATTTTACCGAATTTTAAAAATATAAACAAATGCCGAAAATCCCCCCAAAAGACCCCATTTTCTTTATAAATCTCTAAAAATGTGCAATTTTTTACAAAAAATTGCCCACAAAATAATTGAATAGTGTCACTAGATGTTCATAATTGAAATAAATTAATTCTTGGGTAATAAAATACCAAAATCAAAAATTCCCTCATTTTCCCCAGTTTTATAAAAATGGTAAAAATTGCTATTTTTTCACATGGAAAATTCTTATATATCAATTTTATAGAGCAACTGAACTTTAAAATGCCAACTTTTACCGAATTTTCAACATGTAAACAAACACCGAAAATCCCCTCAAATGTCCCCATTTTCTTTATAAATCTCTAAAAATGTGCCATTTATTAGAAAAAATTGTTCACAACATAATTGAATAGTGTCCCTAGATGTTCATAATTGAAATAAATTAATTTTTGGGTAATAAAATATCAAAATCAAAAATTCCCTCATTTTCCCCAGTTTTATAAAAATTAAAAAAATATCATATTTTTATATGCAAAATTCTTAAATATCATTTTAATGTTACAACTGAAAATTAAATTGTAATTTTTCTCGAATTTTCTAAAATATAAACAAATGCCGAAAATCCCCTCAAATTTCCCCAGTTTCTTTATAAATGTCAAAAATATGCAATTTTTTACAATAAATTGTCCAGAAAATGATTGAATAGTGTCCCTAGATGTTCATTATTGAAATTAATTACTTTTTGGGTAATATAATACAAAAAACAAAAATTCCCTCATTTTCCCCAGTTTTATAAAAATTCCCCAGTTTCTTTAAAAATTTCAAAAAATATGCAATTTTTTACAATAAATTGTCCAGAAAATAATTGAATAGTGTCCCTAGATGTTCATAATTGAAATGAATTGAGTTTTGGTCACTGAAATACCAAATTCAAAAATTCCCTCATTTTCCCCAGTTTCATAAAAAATGTAAAAATTATTATTTTTTCACATGGAAAATTTTTATATATCAATTTTATGGTGCAAATGAACTTTGAAATGCCAATTTTTCCGAATTTTAAAAATGTAAACAAATGCCGAAAATCCCCACAAATTTCCCCAGTTTCTTTAAAAATGTCAAAAATATGCAATTTTTTACAAAAAATTACACACAAAATAATTGAATAGTATCACTAGATGTTCATAATTGAAATGAACTCATTTTTAGGTTATGAAATACGAAAAACAAAAAATTCCCTCATTTTCCCCAGTTTTTAAAAAATTTTAAAAATTATTATTTTTTTACATGAAAAATTTTAATATTTCATTTTTATGTTACAATTGAAAATTTGACTGTTTTTTTCGCCAAAATTTCTAAAATATAAACAAATAACGAAAATCCCCTCAAATTTCCCCAGTTTCTTTATAAATGTCAAAAATATGCAATTTTTTACAATATATTGTCCCAAAAATAATTGAATAGTGTCCCTAGATATTCATAAGTGAAATGAATTCATTTTTGGGCATTAAACTACCAAAATCAAAAATTCCCTCATTTTCCCCAGTTTTATAAAAAATGTAAAAATTATAATTTTTTAAAATTAAAAATTCTTATATATCATTTTTATAATGAAACTGAACTTTAAAATGCCAATTTTGACCGAATTTTTAACATGTAAACAAACACCGAAAATCCCCTCAAACTTCCCCATTTTCTTTATAAATTTCTACAAATGTGCAATTTTTTACAAAAAATGTCCAGAAAATAATTGAATAGTGTCCCTAGATGTTCATAATTGAAATGAATTATATTTTGGTCACAAAAATACGAAATTCAAAAATTCCCTCATTTTCCCCAGTTTTATAAAAATTTTAAAAAATAATATTTTTTTACATGGAAAATTCTTATATATCAATTTTATGGTGCAAATGAACTTTAAATTGCCAATTTTTACCGAATTTTAAAAATATAAACAAATGCCGAAAATCCCCTCAAATTTCCCCAGTTTCTTTATAAATGTCCAAAAATATGCAATTTTTTACAAAAAATTACACACAAAATAATTGAATAGTATCACTAGATGTTCATAATTGAAATGAACTCATTTTTAAGTTATGAAATACGAAAAACAAAAAATTCCCTCATTTTCCCCAGTTTTTAAAAAATTTTAAAAATTATTTATTTTTTACATGAAAAATTTTAACATTTAATTTTTATGTTACAATTGAAAATTTGACTGTTTTTTTCGCCAAAATTTCTAAAATATAAACAAATGCCGAAAATCCCCTCAAATTTCCCCAGTTTCTTTATAAATGTCAAAAATATGCAATTTTTTACAATAAATTGTCCAGAAAATGATTGAATAGTGTCCCTAGATGTTCATAATTGAAATAAATTAATTTTTGGGTAATAAAATACCAAAATCAAAAAATTCCCTCATTTTCCCCAGTTTTATAAAAAATGTAAAAATTATAATTTTTTCAAATGGAAAATTCTTATATATCATTTTTATAATGCAACTGAACTTTAAAATGCCAACTTTGACCGAATTTTTAACATGTAAACAAACACCGAAAATCCCCTCAAACTTCCCCATTTTCTTTATAAATGTCTACAAATATGCAATTTTTTACAATAAATTGTCCAGAAAATGATTGAATAGTGTCCCTAGATATTCATAAGTGAAATGAATTCATTTTTGGGCATTAAACTACCAAATTCAAAAATTCCCTCATTTTCCCCAGTTTTATAAAAAATGTAAAAATTATAATTTTTTCAAATTAAAAATTCTTATATATCATTTTTATAATGAAACTGAACTTTAAAATGCCAATTTTGACCGAATTTTTAACATGTAAACAAACACCGAAAATCCCCTCAAACTTCCCCATTTTCTTTATAAATGTCAAAAATGTGCAATTTTTTACAAAAAAAATGTCCAGAAAATAATTGAATAGTGTCCCTAGATGTTCATAATTGAAATGAACTGAGTTTTGGTCACTGAAATACCAAAATCAAAAATTCCCTCATTTTCCCCAGTTTTATAAAAATTGTAAAAATATAATTTTTTACACGGAAAATTCTTAAATATAATTTGTATGGTGCGACTGAACTTTGAACTGTCAATTTTTACCGAATTTTAAAAATATAAACAAATGCCGAAAATCCCCTCAAATGTCCCCGATTTCCTTATAAATGTCAAAAATATGCAATTTTTTACAATAAATTGTCCAGAAAATTATTGAATAGTGTCCCTAGATATTCATAAGTGAAATGAATTCATTTTTGTGTAAGAAACTACCAAAATCAAAAATTCCCTCATTTTCCCCAGTTTTATAAAAATTATAAAAATCGTTATTTTTCATATGGAAAAGTTTTAAATATCATTTTTAGAGTGCAACTGAACTTTGAAATGCCAATTTTTCCGAATTTTAAAAATGTAAACAAATGCCGAAAATCCCCACAAATTTCCCCAGTTTCTTTAAAAATGTCAAAAATATGCAATTTTTTACAAAAAATTACACAAAAAATAATTGAATAGTATCACTAGATGTTCATAATTGAAATGAACTCATTTTTAGGTTATGTAATACGAAAAACAAAAAATTCCCTCATTTTCCCCAGTTTTAAAAAAATTTTAAAAATTATTATTTTTTACACGGAAAATTCTTAAACATCAATTTTATGGTGCAACTGAACTTTGAACTGTCAATTTTTTGTCGAATTTTTAAATTGTAAACAAATACCCAAAATCCCCTCAAAATGTCCCCACTTTCGCCCAAATTGTCAAAATGTAAGCCAAAAATATTTTGAAATTTTTAAAAATAGTTTTAGGAATATTTTTCCCATACATAAACAAACATCCTATAATCCCCACCAAAATGTCACCACATTGACACAAATGTCAAAACAATAATCTCATTTTGACATTTCTGAAACAAAAAAAAAACTTTAAAGAGAAAAATATTTTTAATAACTTCACCATAAATTTGGCTTAAAGAAATTTTTATCAGACAAAAGATAAAAAGACGATATATTTTATCTCATTTACGCCAATGCGTTGTGACGTCAACAAAATGTAAACAAAAAACAAATCTGTCAAAAATATATTGCCCTCTCTCTCTCTTCGATTTCATCTCAGCTGATCAGAGTTGTATTTTAAGTCTCAATATTTTATTTTAGTATTTCTTTGCTCACTCTCCCATTCTTATTAGAATCTCTTGGATTTTTTTAATCTCTTTATCTATATTTTACCTCTCTCTCCCTCTCTCTTCCAGCTAACTGGCATTATTTTAATTGCCGTTGGTGTTGGCGTCGCTGCCATCTACACCGAATATGAAGCCTTTTTGGTATCGAAATTCTTTTCGATTCCCACCTTCCTGATTGTCATTGGCTCCTTCATCATTGTCATCTCCTTCTTCGGCTGCTGGGGTGCCTTGAAAGAGAACTACTGCCTCGTCTTGACCTTCTCCGTGCTGTTGGGTATGATTTTCATTTTGGAATTGGCCGCCGGTATTAGTGGTTATGTTTTGCGTTCGGATGCCGAATCCCTGATTAAGGTTACCCTAACCGACTCGATGAAGGAATACAATTCGAATCACACCAATGATGTTACCATCCTGTGGGATTATGTTCAAAGGACTGTAAGTATATCTCCCGAAATTTTTTTTTTCGCCGTGAATAATTTCCCTTTTCCCCTCCATTTTTGTTTTTCTGTCATATAGTTCACCTGTTGTGGTGTGGAAAGTTACAAAGATTGGGATCCCATTCTGAAGGGTGAATTGCCTTTGTCCTGTTGCCGCACTCCCGTCGGCCATGTTGGCGCCTTCACCTGTACCACCAACAATGAAGATGTCAATCGTTACAGTTTGGGCTGCTTGAGTGAATTCTCCAATTACATTGCTGCCCATGCTGTGAGCTTGGGCGCCGCCGGTGTTGTCATTGCCATCATACAGGTAGGATCCGATCGGCTAAGAATTTCAAATCAATTCTAACCTCCCGATATTTATTTCTCTTTACAGTTCTTTGGTGTCTTGTTTGCCTGCTACATTGCCCGTGAAATCAAAATACGCAATGGCATTACCGGTTTTATGGGTTAAGAAGTCCTCATAAGGAAGGTAGAAGAAGAAGAAGAGAAGGAGGATAAGAAGAGTAGAGAAGTTGAAGTTTTAGTGCCTTGTAGTTGTAATTTTTTTGTTTTTATCTGCAAACATTTTCAGCTTTGTAATTATTTTTTTTAAATAACAAAAAATAAACAGATTTAAAAAATCCCCAAAAATATGAAAATTCCCGCTATGTCCCCAGTTGCCATAAAATGGGGTAAAAATTACAATGTTCTAACAAAAAAGTACGAAAAGTACTAAATATGGTATCATTTGTACTTGGCGAACCGGTAGAGCTAGAACTCTGAAATTTTAAATGAGGGTTACTGATGGAGTGGAATAGATATAGCAGAGGGTTTTTGGGACATTCGAACTATAAGTATGCGAAAAGTACTAAAATGTACTAAATTTGGTACAATTTCGAAGCATGTGAATGGATAGAGCTAAAAATTTGAAATTTGGAATGCGAGAAAGGGTTGAGATATAGGGTCTATTTAAGTATGTATATGGTTTTGAAAGCGTTTACTCATGTGTACGAAAAGTACTATATGGTACTATATTTGGTACAAATTTAATTTGGAGATACAAATGGAGCTGGAATCCTGAAAATTTAAAGTATATTACCGTCGAAGTGTAGGATTGGGATATATACGTAGTTTTGGAATTTTTTTTACTTATGTGTACGAAAAGTACTAAATCGTACTATAATTGGTACCAAATTTGGATTTGGGTGAACCGATATAGCTGGAACAATGCAATTTGGAGTCAGGATCACTGTTGGGTATGTGGGATTGGGGTCAGGATTCAATTTAAGCAATTAATACTTATGGATACTAAATGGTACTAAATTTGGTACAATTTGAATTTTAGGTGAACCAATAGAGCTAGAATCATGAAATTTGGAATCAGGATCACTGTGGAGGTGTAGGATTGAGATATGTAAAAGTTTTAGAAATTTGTACTAATGTGTACTAAATTTGGTACAATTTAAATTGTGGGTGAAGCGATAGAGTTGGAATCCTAAAACTTGGATTAAGGATCACTGTCGGGGTGTAGGATTGGGGTATTTAGGAAGTTTTGGAAATTAGTACTACTGTGTACTAAATTTGGTACAATTTGAATTGTGGGTGAACCAATAGAGTTGGAATCCTGAAACTTAGATTTAGGATCATTGTCGGGTGTAGGATTGGAAATTGGTACTACTATGTACTAAATTTGGTACAATTTAAGTTGTGGATTAAGCGATAGAGTTTGAATAGGATTGGGGTATGTAGGAAGTTTTGGAAATTGGTACTACTGTGTACTAAATTTGGTACAATTTGAATTGTGGTTGAATCCTGAAACATGGATTTAGGATCACTGTGGAGGTGTATGACTTCGGTATATAGGAAGTTTAGGAAATTTAGTACACATTAGTAGTACTAAATTTGGTACAATTTGAATTATGGTTGAATCCTGAAACATGGATTTTAGATCACTGTGGGGATGTAGGATTGTGTTATATAGGAAGTTTTGGAAATTCGTATTACTGTGTACTAAATTTGGTACAATTTGAATTATGAGTGAAACGATAGTGTTGGAATCCTAAAACTTGGATTAAGGATCACTGTCGGGGTGTAAGATTGGGGTATTTAGGAAGTTTTGGAAATTAGTACTACTGTGTACTAAAAAAATTTGAAATTTGATACTAAGCGATACTAAAAAGTACTAAAAATTACATATGAATGGAGTCGATGACGATTTATATCTGAACCTTGAAGGTGCAAAAATATTTTTTTGGAAATAAGTACTAAAATATACTAAAAAGTACTAATACTGTATTACGTCGGAACAGTTGGAAGTAGAACTCCGAAATGCAGCTCTGCCAATGATAAACGAAACTAAACTCCAACAGTCATTTTAACTGCCAATTTGAAGACTGCAGCTCAATCTGTACACCTAAATCCAACTTGCACCAAATTTAGTACTTTTCGCACACATAAGTACGATTTTTAAAATTACCTCAATCCAGTACTATAATAGTAATCCTAATTCCGATTTTCAGTCTTCCATCTTTATACACTCATTTAAACACAAATATAGTACTAAATTTAGTACGATTTTGTACTTTTTATACACATAAGTACCAATTTCTTAAACCATGTCCATACATCAAACCCACTTCTCAACCTGTATTCCTTATATAATTTCAAGATATTCGATAGTTTCGATATATATACAATTAGAACTAAATTTAGTAAAGTTTAGTACTTTTCGTACACTTTTAGGTCGAATTTTAAAAACACTTTTGTACATCTTTCTAACTTTCCATCGGTGACCAACATTCCAAATTTCAGAATTCTAGCTCTTCCCGTTCGCCTAATACAAAGGGTACCATACATTTGGTACATTTTAGTACATTTCGTACCCTTCTAGTTCGAATATCCAAAAACCCAGCCTTATATCACGCCTACACACCAACAATAACCCACACTAAAAATTAAAGTTAAAAGTAAATTAAAGTTTATTTATTTTAACTATAAAAAGATCCGCTATCGATATAGCGGGCCATTGCTAGTTTTTCATAAAATTCGAAAAACAAGAAAGCAGGAACCATATATAGAATGCAATGCTACGATCCAGAAGTGACCTAAAATACAAACAATACCTCAAAAAAGAGAAACAAAATGTAGTCCCCACGTTGGGCGCCACTCACAAAAAAATAATTAATATGGTATAGCTTAGATTATTTTTGTGATTGCATATATGTGAACTAAAATAAAATTAATGAAAAATTAATCTTGGATCCATTATTACTAAATAGGAGAAGCCGTTTCATAATTCTCCACGTTGGGCGCCACTTACTATAAAATTAGGAAAACAAAGGATTAGGCAGAAATTCAATATAATTTGCTACTGGGACCTCATATGAATAATGAAGTATAATTTTATGAAAAGAAAATCAATTTTCAATTCCCCACGTTGGGCGCCACTTACACAAAAAATTGAAATTTCGTATAAATTAGATTATTTTTGTGATTGCTTATAACCGGACTAACATAAAATTTATGAAAAATCGATCTAGGTTCCATTACCACAAATTAGAGAGACCGATTCATAATTCTCCACGTTGGGCGCCACTTACTATAACATCAGGAAAACAAAGGATTTGGCAGAAATTCAATAATATTTGCTACTGAGTCACCTCACATGAATAATAAAATATAATTTTATGAAAAGAAAATGGAATTTCAATTCCCCACGTTGGGCGCAACTCACAAAAAACTGCAATTTTATATAACTTAGATTATTTTTGTGATTGCATATAAGGACTAACATACAATTTATGAAAAATTAATCTAGGGTTCATTACCACAAAATAGAGAGACCGATTCATAATTCCCCACGTTGGGCGCCACTTGCTATAAAATCGGGAAATTAAAGGATTTGGAAGAAATTCAATAATTTTTGCTACTGGGACCTCGCATGAATACTAAAATATAATTTTATGAAAAGAAAATGGAATTTCAATTCCCCACGTTGGGCGCCACTTACAAAAAAGTGCAATTTCGTATAACTTTGATTATTTTTGTGCGATCTAGGGTCCATTATTACTAAATAGAAAAGCCTTTTCATAATTCCTCACGTTGGGCGCCACTTACTATAAAACCAAAAAACCAATGGATTTGGCAGAAATTCAATAATACATATTTGCTATTGGGAACTCACATGAATACTAAAATATAATTTTATGAAAAGAAAATCGAATTTCAATTCCGCACGTTGGGCGCCACATACAAAAAACAAGAATTTCGTATAAATTAAATTATTTTTGTAATTTCATATAAGTACTAACATAAAATTTATGAAAAATCGATCTAGGTTCCATTACCACAAATTAGAGAGACCGATTCATAATTCCCCACGTTGGGCGCCACTTACTATTAAATGGATTTGGATGAAATTCAATAATTTTTGCTACTAGAACCTCACTTAAATAATATAATATAATTTAGGGCAATTAAATTCCCCACGTTGGGCGCCATTTTATTTTAAATGTTCCTGTAAAATGATTTTTAATTTAATTTTTTCTGAAAAATAAGCCAATTCCATTAAATTTCCGTACGCCTGTCGTGTCTTCAATTGACATGACAAATTGATTGACAGTCAGTCGTCCGCAGGAATAATTAATTATTTATTAAAAAGCACACAACTTTTGAGGCAAAGGTTTCAACGATGTGGAGGTCATTAAAGAAACTATCAAGGGGACACATCCAATACAGGGTGGCACAAAATAAACAGGGCGTGGATTTAAAAAAAATGATTTTTGAGAGACAAAATCAGGGCTTGGATTTTTAAAATTAATTTTGAGAGGTCTACACAAGGCGTGGATTTTTATACCCTACACCTACCCTGTGGTACAGGGTATTATGTCTTTGTGCATATGTTTGTAACAGGCAAAAGGAATCGAGATAGACCTATGGTTCCTTTTAAGAATATGCATAGAATCACTTCCTGAGTCGATTTATGCATGTCCGTCCGTCTGTCCGTCTGTTGGTCAACAAAGTACAGGTCGCATTTATTATCCGAATTGGATGAAATTTGGTACAGCTCATTTATTTGACCCAAGGATGTACCCTATTGAAATTGGGAAAAATCGGTCCAGATTTAGATATAGCCCCATATATACTTTCGTCCGATTTCATGTAAATTGTGCACCAAAGTCCCTATATATCTTTCGATTTGCATGAAATTTGGCATAACGTACTGAATTGAGCCTGGAGTGATGTCTGCCAAATTTCGTGAAAATCGGTCCAGATTTAGATACAGCTCCCATATATAGTTTCGTCCGATTTTATGTAAATGGTGTAGCAAGGTCCTTATATATCTTCAGATTTGAATGAAATATGGCATAGCGAACTGAATTAAGTCTAGAAAGATGTGTGTTAAATTTCGTGAAAATCGGTTCAGATTTCGATATAGCTCCCTTATATATTTTCGTCCGATTTAATGTAAATGGTGTACCAAGTTCCCTATATATCCTTCGATG